TTATATTCGGAGCATTTCTCTATTACCTGATTGATAGTATGAATGTGGTCAATTGTTGAGTAGCCTGTTCGAAATCCTGCTTGTTCCTTTGGTTGATTGAATTCTAATGTTTTCTTTACTCTGTTAGCAATTACCTTTGTGAATAGCTTGTATACTACAGAGAGCAAGCTGATCGGCCTGTAATTCTTCAAGTCCTTGTCATCTCCTTTCTTATGTATTAAGATGATGATAGCATTCTTCCAAGACTCTGGTACTCTTCCCGTCAGGAGACACCTCGTAAACAGGGTGGCTAGTTTTTCTAACACAATCTGTCCTCCATTTTTCAGCAGATCTGATGTTCAGCAGATCTGATCTGATGTTTCAGCAGACCTGATCCTCACCAGCAGCTTTGCCTCTTTGCATGCTCTCGATGTCTACACTCTCCTGAAGTCTAGTCTCCTTTTGGCCTATGTTTACGTTGGCGCTTCATACGGTTATATCGTGGGCATATATTGTGAAGTGTTTACCTTCTATCCGCTCCAAATCCCTCACAACTCTGGTTATTGCTAAATTATATAACATGGGTGAGAGCACAGCTCCTTGTGGGGTGCCTCTGTTGCCTAGTGCCCCCAACTTAGATTTTAGTTCTCCTAGAGTGAGACTCACTTGTCTACCACTAAGAAATGACTTGACTATGCGGAAAAGCCTCTCGCCCAGACCCGGCATGGATAGGACCTCGAGGATGGCCTTATGCTCTATGCGGTTAAAAGCTTTTTCGACGTCGAGACCTAAAAGCGCTCTCGTATGCACTGGGCTAACCTGTATGGGCTGGTGCTTGATCAGGAGCATGGTGTTCTGAGTCGACAGCCCGGGATGGAAACCGATCATGTTATTGCGAGTATGTCATGTTGTTCAACGCAGCGCGTGAGTCTGTTGAGAATGACGTGTTCCATAGCTTTACCTAGGCATGACGTAAGTGAGATTACACTGAGGTTATCCAGGCTGAGTGGTTTACCTGGTTTGGGTTTGAGAATAGTATTGGCTCGCTTCCATTCCTCTGGAAATTCTCCTTTTTTCCATAACTCGGTGAAGTGATCCATCAAGAAAGTGATAGAGTCATCGTCTAGATTCATTAACAGTTTGTTAGTACTAATGCCGTCGGGTCCGGCTGCTGATCTGCTGAAAAGACCATGGAGGGCAGCTCGCATTTCACCCTCAGTGAAATCACGGTCCATTTCTTCACGCGGTGGTCCAAAGTACTCTATGTGTTCATCGCTCTCCCCTGGTTGTTTCAGCGGGAGATATTTTTCCACAAGCTACTGCATGATTACCTTTTAAGTCCTGGACTGGCTCGCCTGATGTACTAGTTTCGCAATGGCCGTTCGCTTGTTAGACTTAGTTTTGTTTTCGTTCAATAGGTGTTTGAGGAGGTTCCAATTGCCCCCACGTTCGGCTCATCCGTCTGCCTGGTTGCAAGCTTCGTCCCACTGTTGTTTTGTGAGGGTTTGTGCTGCTCCTCTATCTGTTTATTCAGCAACACTATCTTTTTCCTGAGCTTTCGGTTCAGTCTTTGTGTTTTCCATTCTTGCAGGATGAATTGCTTGGCTTCGATCAGATGTGCGAGCCTACTATCGATGGTCTCTATGCTGTCTTCAGTCGTAATATTTCTAGTGGCCTCCTGCAGGTCCTCTGCGAGCTAGGTGATTCAGGTCTGGAAGGCCTGTCTACCAGTTTCTATGGGTTCCAACCCTAGTCGTTTTGCTCTAGCTTTCCTAAAAAGGTCCCGGTTGGTGCACCGAAAGGTTCTAGTCTGTTGTTTCGGCATTCCTATACCAATGTGCATGATATAGTGATCGTTACCTAGATCTGTGCCTGAATTTTCTCAGCTAGCTTCGTTTGAGTTCTTAACAAAAGTGAGGTCTGGTGTAGAGTCTCTGCATGTGGACGTACCACAGCGAATGGGAAAAGCCAGAGCGGTGATCAGGCTCAGTCCGAGGTCTGTGGCGAGGTCCCATAGCCCTTCTCCTTTCTTTGTATTCCAAGTGTATCCCCACGCCTGGTAGGGGGCATTAAAGTCACCTCCTAATATAAGCGGGGAGCTCTTGGCGATGGCGAGTGCCTTGGTGAAAAGTGTCGTGAAGTTCTGTTTCTTGGCGCTGGGACTGCTGTAAATGTTTAAGCAGAAGATGCTGTGCCCCTTGCCCGCCTGCCTTTTAAGTACGACTTCTACTAGGGTATACTCGATTTTAGTCAATCTGAGCGGGATATCAAGTTCGATAAAAGGTAGCTTCCTGTCAACGAGAGTTGGCAATCCTCTCCTGCAATGTTTTCCTCTAGATACCGATTTGTAGCCGGTTAGTTTGACCTCGTCCTATAAAGTTTTCTGACATAACATAACATAACAGACAAAGGTACCGTGTTTACAGATGAGCTTTTGCACACTGTGCTAACGTTTAGTGGCACAGCACATAGGAAGACAACAGCTTACCACCCACAAACGAATGGGCTTACAGAACGACTTAACAAGACAATCGCTGACATGCTTTGCATGTACGTCGACCTGGAACACAAGAATTGGGACCGCATATTGTTCTACATTACATTCGCGTACAATACGGTGCGCCAGGAAACAACGAAAATGACGTCGTTAGCGCTAATTCATGGCAGAGAAGTTACTACAATGCTTGACGCCATGCTGCCTTACGATTGCAATGATTCAGAGACAGACGCGGCAGACTTCACTGAGCGGGCTGAGGAAGCAAGCCAGCTTGTCCACGTCAGAGTAATCATTCAGCAGCAACTTGACGCCCAAGAGTCACCAGGAGATAGAGTCTGGGTTTGGTTTCCTGTACGACGGCGAGGCTTCTCAGAGAAACTCCTACACCGATACTTGGGACCCTACAAGGTTTTGCTCCGTCTTAGCGATGTGGCGTACGAAGTCGTGCCCAACGCCTCCTCCTGTTTGAAATGTCGCCAGCATCTGCCTAAGACAGTGCACGTGGTCCACATGAAACTTTACCACTCTGAGTGATGTAAACACCCGCTGGCTGCACCTCTACCTGGTGAGCATCGGTACGACGCTCACTCTGGAAGGAGGGTGATGCCGCAAGCATAGCTGCGTCTAGCTGCGAGATAGCGACGACAACGAAGATCGCGGATTTGCTCGAGAGGCGCAGCGCAGGCGAGATAAGAAGACGACAATCTTAGCGGCTTTCTTTTAAGAGCGTCTCTACGAGTTCCACTGTCTGTGTTTTTAAAATAAACCCTCTGTATTTTATAACCCGCGACAATATACTATTTGGTGCTCTACATGTGGCCTCGCCAACTCGGTCGGTTGGTTGCTACAGCAAAGTCGATTTGTTAATAAGAAAGAAGTGAAAGAGTGTCGGTCTTTCTCTAAATAACAATGTCAGTGAGAAAATATTATTTGACAATGAACTGACAGGATGCGTACTTTAAATACAATACTATTACAAAAAAAATAGTTGAAGGCACCGGTAACAACAAGCGCACAACGTAGGGACATATCTTCCCGTAATTGCAGCTTGCGTACAAGTGATTCGGAACAATGCAATTCGTGCCATTCTGTATAAACTAGTTAAAAATGCATGTACACAGCGTGCAAATAAACGTGTTTTGCACCCGGTGCAGTGGTGATCACGGTTAAGCCCGATCAGGATCAAATATCTAAAGTGATTGGAGTCCTTCTGCAGCTGGTGTAATAGAGTCAATAGTCAATCACATCAGGTTCGATCCCGATCAAAATTGCGCGTGTGGCAGTGCTCTAAGTTATAACTTTCAAAATGCTGAAACAGCATAACTTGTGCTGCACAAACAGGAACGATCCGTGGGTGGCCACCTATTGCCCTTGATCTTTACCAGCCACAAGTAAGAGTGGCTTTTTCAGATGTTTCAGAAATCTGAACACCCTATAGCCATTTCGCGAGTGGTTTGTGCACTGTGGCACGCAACACCCAAGCGCTTCGCCCAAGAAAATGCCGCGCACTTGTGTCATTCAACCAGCTGCGACGAGACAGGGGAGAGCCGAATGGCGGCCGCCGATCAGAAATAGGCACTCATTCTTTCAAAAAGTGACTCCACCTTGCAAGGGAGTACGCGCATTGAGGAACCCTGAGAAAGCATGGAAGGGGCACTCGGCGAGAGGGCAAAGCCGCTTGGATACCGTGAAGGTGGTGCATAGGTGTTCTTATGATATACAGGTGTTCTGAGGTGGTGTTGACTGTAGCGAAGGAGAAAGCGAAAGGAGTAATTGTCGCGATTTTGATAATCAAACGTTTGCTATTGCGGCACCATTTAGAAAAATTCTCACGGCTCGGTGTTCGTCGTACACTCATGCACAAATGCCCCATCACAACTTAATTTCGACCTCTGGGTTGTTTATTACCTCTTTAGAGCTAGAGTTCAACATCGGGTGTCTGCGAGGACCCTCTGTGCATTTGCTTATCATCCATGCTCAACGAGGGAGACAGTCTGAGCAGCTGCCAAGCAGAGTTTCCCAGCTAGGTGCGAGCCGTGTACGCCCGCAGCCAGCTCTTAGCTTAGGTCTGGCGCTGGAGCTTACACTATGCAATCCTTGCATAGCTTCGGCTCTACTCTGCCAAGACTTCAGGAGATCAACCAGCTCCTTATGCCCTTCACGGCTAGCAGGGATGCGAGGCGGTAGGATCTCGGTCAACATTCTTCGGTGCAGTAACGATAAGCTAGGTTACAACACTCACATACAGCCTATTTGTGTGAAAGACCCTTCAGAATTACGTGCCAACTTTTCTATGACTATTATTTGCCAGTAACGTCACAGCAGTGAAAGAAGCTCTCCCCCCACAACTTGCGGATGCACCTCTATGCAATAAGTACTGGGGGCGCCCTTGAAGATTAATGTGTACTGCCTCCCCCCACCCTACTTTTTTTAGCTGTGAGCAAATGCCGTATGGCTTTACGATTTGCTGTTATAAGCTGCTTCCACTACGGCATTTTTTTTTTTTTCTCCTTATCGGCCGCAGCGACGGTATGCGCCGCTGGTACCAGGAGCTGCAGACGCTAAACCGTGAGCTGTTCAGTGATCACCGGGTGCGTTGCCAGAGCCACGAGGAGCTGTCCCGCTGTGTGCGCGCACTCAACCGGGGCATCGAGAGGGCCTCGGCCCTGCGGGTGGGACGATACAAGGCCGCCACTGTGGCCGCCTGTCACCAGGCCTTGGCGCCAACTGCCGAGGGGGGCGCCCTGCTGCAAGTGCTCAGCCGAGGAGCGACGGCGTGAATATTGATCGTCTCTTCGATGGCCTGCATAACTTCCTGGCACCAATCATGCACCACTTGAGTGTGTTCCTCCTTGATAATTATTTTTCACACACACATTATAATTGTTTGAGTATACCCTGCTCAGATCCAAGAAAGAAATGTTATTTATTTCAAACGTATTAGATGCGAAGCAGCTCTTTGACTAGCCTGTGTAATGCTGTCCCTCTGTACACCTCCACTGCCCATGCTCGTTTGTCGTGCCGGCCTAGGAAGACACCCGCAAAACTATAGCTCCCCTTCCTCTCTCACGCCTCGCAAGGCCGACGCAGGCAGTGTCTGATGATAATGGCCGACTGCTCGCGCTGCAGAACCATTCACTGGCCACCCTGTGTATGTAGGCACTGGATCACGCGTTTTAAATTCAGTCAAGGGCGTCTTTACTTGGCTTTCCTTTGATGAGTGTCAGTGCCGTCACCGCCAGTCTAGGTGTAAGTGCCTGCTGCTTCGCATCTACCCAAGCTTTCCTTTAGTGGGAGATGGTTTGGTTTGGGAGAATTTTATTCTGAGAATCTGAAGGCGTGTGCCACATGGCAGGCTATTCCCACGATGGGACAGTAAGGCCGAGACCATGGACCGAGACCTACTGCCGCATCGGGGGCCCTCTGGACAGCTCAAAGTTGTGATGTGTTGGCCGTACTTCGCAGAACGAATTTCCATTTGCTGAACGATGCTGCATCGGTGCCGCCTGACGAAGGGCGCTCCCAGAGCATGTGGTGCAAGATGGCTAAACTGCCACATTTCGTACAAGAGTTGGTTAGTAAACCTCTAAGCGGGAGATCGTCCAATTCTTTATTTATTCCGAAGCCTACAAGAATATGGAAAAAGATTTATTTAGAGCGTACAATAAAAAAATATGAAATTCAATAATTATTTTCCTTAATTAAATTCCATTAGAGCATATATAATTAGGCTAAACATCTATTAACTGCATTTTACAACAAAGGGTATGCATAAAACTATATTACAACTTTATTGAAGACCCTTCAGTAGTTTTGTCATGCATATTGTGTGAAAATAAGCCAAAGAAAATCTTCAAGGACTAAAAAGTTGTTTGCTGGAAGACACCACATTGAAACCCACCGTGCCATGTCTTAAGAAATTCAAGTTGACGGTAAAAAATATTTGCTTCACAATCAGCTGCACTTGCTCAAAGCAATGACACCAGAAGGGGTCACTGATGAGGATAGGACGCATTCAACTTTTCGTATAGCCCATTTATTTTTAGCCTGCATTGATTCACCTAAACTCAACTGTGTAGGACTGTTTAAGTCGCAACTGTAGCTGTTTAAGTCGCAACTGTACCTGTTTTGGGGAAGACTCAGTAGAAGAGTGCAGTTATGCCCGCTGTGAAACCATGCTCATTTTGAATGCAAAGCATTTCTTGTGTACTACAGGCACTATTGACGTCCGTCTGTCTAACCGCCTATGTCTAGGTGCTTTCGTGATCGCCCCCTAAACACGCAGTTAACCAAGATTAGTACAGGAGATTAAGATGGTTTGATGAATATGACGCATTGATCATGACATAAAAAATATGACAATCCGTGAGCAGCTACATGACAGTTTATATCTACAGTCGAACCCAGGTATATCGAACTCGCCAAAAAACGTTTATTAGTTCCATATATGGCATAATTCGATATAAGCCCGGTATAGGTTTTGACACAAAGGCACATAACAAACTAGAAGAAAAGTACTTTATTAATATGGTGGCTTACTTGCGTGCCCTACTGTGGAACAAAATAGTCCCGGATTTTTTTCTGTGTCAACGACTTCGCTGCCTGAGACAGCACGCACACCCCCACGTTGTCTAACGAGTGGAAGCAGCTGAGGCCGCAACCTTCCACATTCAAGCAATAGCGCCGGACCAACGCAAGTGCACTAATCACTTCGGAGGATGTAGGCAATGGGCCGTCGTCAATTTCCATATTGCTGTCGCTCTGGCTCGTGGTCGGCACGACGTCTGCAATGTAATCCTCATCTTGTAATTGGCCCATGATGGGGACATCATCGTCCGCACTGACGAACTCGTCGAATGTCGATCTGTCGATAGCACCCGGTAACTCTGCCAGCTCGTTCCAAACATCGGCGTAAACACCTGTGGTGTCTTCAGTGCTGTCAGAATTTGGGGTGTCATCACCAGGCATGCGGAAGCCGGCATGCCTAAAGTCGTTCTGGATAGTCTCCTTCTTGACATCTGCCCACGATCTACTCAACATAGAAATAGCTCCAAGCAAGTCGATCTTAAGCTCCCTGCCGACACGAAGGTTCTGCAGCAGCCTCTCCACCAGGTGCTTCCGATAGCCGGCTTTAATTGCGCGTATAACGCCTTGATCCAGTGGTTGCAGTACAGACGTAGTGTTCGGGGGCAAAAAACACAGCTTGATGTTGCTGAAGGTCGTACTGCAGTGGTGTGATGAACAATTGTCCACGAGCAGGCACACCTTGCGATTTTCGCCTACCAAATCATCATTGCACGACGATAGCCATCTGCTGAAAAGCTCCCCGGTCATCCACGCTTTTGAGTTTGCTCGGTAGGTAACTCGAACCGACAGCGCATTTTGAAAACACCGCGGTGCCGTGCTTTTCCCGATAACCAGAGGTCGAAGCTTTTTCGATCCGTCTAAATTAGCTGCCAACAGCATGGACACACGAGCTTTGTTTGCCTTACCGCCGCTTGTCTTGTCGCCACGACACGCAAGTGTCTTGTTTGGCAACATTTGCGAAAATAGAGCGGTTTCATCCGCATTGAAGATATCTTGGGCTCTATATCTTGCTGCGATATCTCGCCAGTTTTCCTCGAGCCATTTTTCTAGGCTGTCCAGGTCCGCCACTCTGCTTCACCTGTAACAGCTTTGCCAACGATGTCGTGCCGTTCTTTGACCCGCTGAAGCCAGCCTGAACCACTTTGGAAATCATTCCTGCGAAGTAGAAAAGCAAGGTCCTTGGCTTTCTGCTCGATCATAGGGCCGGACACCGGGATGTTTCGTGACCGAACGTCCACAAACCACTCGTAAACGGCCGCTTCAACATCTTCGTACACCGCAGCGCGCACACGTCGGGCGCCACGGGCACCTGGCCTTTTGTCTGACTTGGCCCTGATCTCTGCCTTGTTCTTCAGGATAGCACTCAAGATGCTCCTTGGAATTTTGTACACGGTGGCGACGCCGAACTTCTTTTCACCGCGCTCAACCTGATTGATGATTTTGAGTTTCGCGGCGAACGGCAAATTTTGCCTCTTTGCGCACGCCATGACGACAGCGCGCCAATACAGTTCACAGAGCACCAACAGGCAACACCACAGACCACGCTGAATCGGCAGCAGCAGGCACACAAGCATAAAAAAAAAAAAATGGCACTCACTTCTACCGTTTCTGCGCCTCGGAGAAAGCACGACGGCCTCTGATTGGCTGTAAGCGCTGCGAGCGAGCCAGGATCATTTCTTGGAGGGGGGTGTTCGCCCGTGCACAACCGGGTCAAACCAACTTTTTCTAGGGTGGCGCCGGCAGTTTTCTCCGCCACCGCGAGGAAAAGCCAACTTGCTGGGGCACTTTTGAGGCACATGGAGTTTGATATATCAGTTGTCTTTGCTATTTCGTTCGATAAAACAGTAACTTTTGCTATATATTCTCAATGTAATCTTACCGTGTTTAGGAATTGTTCGATATACGGGATAATTTGATATAAACGGGTTCGATATAATCGGGCTCGACTGTACCTAGAAATGGCGAGAACAGACATTGATAATTTCAGTATCCATCTGGAAACTGCGAGAACAGACATTGGTCATTTTAGTGTGACAGTGTCCAGAAAGAAGCTGACATCGGCAGTGCTGACCCGAAAAATGCAAAGAATAAATATCCGGGCCCCAGTGCTGCAATTGAATCCAAGCATTCTGCATGGCAATCAAGTATTCTACTACAGAACAACACCAGGTCTCGTGTATGTTGGGAAAAATACAATAATCAGGTGTAATGTTGGTGAAACATCAATTGTGGCTACAATGCTGGCTATCCAATTTTATAAACACCACAAATATCCTCCTATAGTACAGCCATCTCATCAGATTAACGTCAATTGTGGTTAAGTGCCGTAAATTGAAGTTGGTTTATGTAGCAGTGTACAGGGCTACCATCCTCGCGAACACAAGTGCTACACATCAACTTACGACTTCTGATGTTGCTAGTACTCGTTTTACTGTTGGCATCGTTACGCACGTGTAAACAACTTGTTATATAAAACATATGCGTTTGTGCAACATATCTATGTGTAAAACATCTGTACATTTATTTGGCGTCCCTTTGTAATGTGTCGCTAAAAAAAGTTGAAACGTAGTCACTTTCCCTCTGCATACATTGCATAACATTGATTGCCAAAGTATGTGGGCATAGAGTTTCTTAAAATTAAATAGAGGGGCTTCTGGCACTGCGATAGTCTTCATGCTTGCGATCCTCTTCAGTCTTCATGCTTGCGGAATCGAACCTTTATTGCAGTGTTTCAGTTTTGTTTCAAATAAAACAACTGTTTTCAACTTCAAGACCCGATTCAAGTTGGTGAGCCTGGAAGATTAAGGTCGTGAAGAGTAACTAATAAACTATTACTGATTGTTGTTTTATAAAAAAATCGCCATGCCTGCGCGGAATGTGCAGCACAGTCACAGCAAAAACTGGAAGAGTGGCCCTTCAGAGCCTTTTCTGAACACCCTTTGGGTAACTGCTACAAGTACGCTTGCTGGGTACCCATTATGGCATAATCATAATTTCTGTGTAGTAGGCTGGCATTCACTAAGCTATCTTTTGTCATTTTTTGGAGAAGCGTGGTATACGCTACACAGTTGCAAGAAATTTTGTGCCAATTTTTCACGCAGTGGCTGATGACGATGGATAGGCCTGGAGTGGGTATGCGCCACAGTAAATAGGTGATCAAGAACAAACTTTTGTAAAGGGTTGGAGCATTTGA